TCCAATCCAGCGCGCTGGGGCTCAAGGCTCACTCAAGAAGGGAGAGCGCCCAAGAGCCCTGAGCAGGGGTTGAGCAGTGTTTAAGTACACTTTTTTAGGGAGGGCAGGGACTTTGCATACATCAGAGCAAATCATCATGAGGAGCGGGAAAATTGAAAAACAACTCTCAAACATGATTAGTCCATTCATTGGCGGGAACAGGTCAGGCGGGGGTGATAGGTCAGTCCTAAGGGGAGGGGGTACTTTGATTGGTTTGGGCCCTGAATGCCTATGTGCCAAACTGCACAGGGTCCAGGTTATTTAACAACTAAATGGTCAGTACCGGGCATTGTCTTAACTGCCTCAGGAATTTCAGGTTCTGTGTGCAGTTCAGAAACTTTACAATATCTAGTCCTTTACATTTTAACTCAGGCTTTGCAGCTTAGAAACTTTACCTTTTCACATCCAGTTTGCATTGCGAAAGCAAGCCATGTAGTTAAGCCCAACATCACTGGGAAGATGCTTTTAGTGGGAGGAATTGAGGGTCACTGAGCCATGGTGGGGATTATCATGCAGATATCTCTGCCTTTGGGGGCATGAAAAACTGGGACCCCTTACAGTTCTGAATCCAGGATGTAAATACAGACACCAGGAGCTGCTGTGGCTAAGATCTCACAATGTGAAGCAGATCTGAGGATGAAGCCCATCCCCCACAACCATGTTCTTACATCCAGGGGCCAGGATCTACCCCACCCTCACAGGTTTTAAGCAGGACTTATTCAATTTCCCTTTGAATTGGGATTCTGTTATTAGAAATGTCACAAAACCTAGCAAATATATTCACTTACCTCTCAAATTAAAAAAATTTTTTTTTGCCTTTTGTTCTATGCTTGAGGTTTCTCTTTCTAGCCCAGGAGTTGGCAAACTGTGACCCCTGGGCCAAATCCAACCCACTTCCTGTTTTTGTAAATAAAGTTTTATTGGAACACAGCAACATCCATTTACTCACATGTCATCTGGGTCTACCTCCATATGGCCATGGCAGTTGTGACAGAAATTATATGATCCACAAAACCTAAAATATTTTTACCCAGTTCTTTACAGAAGAGGTTTGCTAAATATTGCTTTAGAGCAGATGTTAGCTGTATGATTTTTCTGGTGCTGGGGACTTCCAAATCTATTTCCTGGGCCCCGCTCTTAACTGTGCACCTTTATTCTGCACATCTATTTCTACTTGAATACTCCACAAATTCAGAATATCAAACAAACTGAACTCACCCTTTGTGGGATTCATGCACTGGGTAACTCAGGTTCAGAGAGTTTCATTGCTATATAGTATTCCATTACCTAAATGTATAAAAATTCATTTGCCTACTATTCCTGCTAATGGATACTTGAGCGGTTTCCAGGTTTCTTGCTATTAAAAAAGTGCTTTTATCCTTGTATGACTTTCCCTCTGTCCATGGGCAAATGTTTCTTTGTGTAGGTACATACATATCTGCATCTTAACAAAATATTGCCAAGCTCCAATATCAGTAGCATTAGCCTTGAATTTCTACTTCTCAACATCTTTAAAAATGCACAGCATAGAAATTTTTAAAAATTTGTTTTTGACAACCAGTGGATATAAAAATAGTTCTCATTGGGGGTTTTAACTTGTATTTTTCTGGCTATTGGTTAGATAGAAGTATTTTATATATGATTATGTAGCCACTCATATTTTTTTTCTTATTTCAAAAATGACCATGTATGTTTTTGCTCATTTTTCTAAGGTTGTATGATTTTTTTCTTTCTGGTCCTAGGACTAGAACACAGGGCCTCATGTACTCTAAACAAGCACTCTACCACTGAATTATGTCCCCAGCCCTGATGATACTTTTCTTAACTGACCTATTAGAATTATTCATACATTCTGGATGTGGATTATCTGTCAGTCATCTGGGTGATAAATAAATCTTTTCAGTTTGTGACTTATGTTTTCACACTTTGCACAACTGATTTATAGCAGTTCTTATTTTTGGTATAATCACACTTCTCAATCTTTTCTTCTGTGGTTTGTATTTTTGTATCTATTTAAGGAATCCTTCCCTCTTCTAAGGTTATAAATAGTAATGGCCCAAACTCATCCAGCACTTCTTAAGTGTTTGGTACTCAATATTTCCCTTTTACAGATAGACGAATTAAAGGTTCAGAGAAATTAAGCAACTAGATCAAAGTTACCCAGCAACTAAGCAGTGGAGTCAGGATTTGAACACAGATAATCTACCTTCATTCTTTGCGCTATAACAACTGCCAAACTACTTTTTTTGTAGGAATTACCTCATAATGTTATTCTAAAAGATACCAAGTTTTGCTTTTCTCATTACAGTCACTAATCTGGAATCGGCTTTTGTATATGATGTGTGAATTTTGAACTAATCTTTACCTTAGACCCTTACACACACAATATCTAGTGTTGACTGATTCTTGCCAAAGATAATAATTAAAAAAAAAAAAAGAGTTTCTTTTATGTTGCAAGTGGAAGATTCCAAGCAAGGCTGGCAAATGTAATCCTGTTCTCCAAGTTCATGGTGAAGTCCCTCTTCAAATGATGTGGTACCAGAATAGAATTCTTTGAATTAATCAAGGAAGACAGACCTCCAGGTTGAGGCACTGAAGACAGGAGGTTGATCAAACACTTTTGGCATCCTGTAAAGTGAACAGGATATCCCCTGCAGAACCCTGCAAAAGGCAGAGGCCACCACAAAGCACAGAACAGTCTCCACAGCTCCGCCTACACAGCTGGGACCAAAATAGTTCACACGGCATTCCTGCCGCCTCCTTGTGAACTGTGTGGGAAGGCACTCTGGTCACGAATTCTTCATTGAAACCACCCACATACACTAGGACAGCAGCAGCAATGGCAATGGCATCTTGGAATCCGTTGAACAACATGTCGTAGGCTGTACAATCATGTCTTTCTGCAGCGAATACTTTCTTTCCAAATTAGAGGCTTTAAACAAATATAAAGATACTGAAAATTATTTTTTTAAGTTAAAAATAAAGTGAGAAGGAGTTGAGTGGAGCAGAGAATAGGGGCCGGATCATAAAGGGTCTCATGCTAGGTTTAAAATGTGAACTTTATTGTGTCAAAGTTGAGAATGGGAGGCATTTTAAACTGGAAAGGAACACGATCTGTTTAGTATTTTGCTTGTTAGACACGGCAAGACTACTAACCTGGCTGATAGAAATACTTTTAAAAAAAGTGATCATGCCAGGATCTGCTGGTTCCCTCTGCCATCCCCAGTCTACCTTGTTATTCCTGGCTGGCAAAGCTCACCTCCTACTCTCAAGGCTGGAAAAGCCCAAGAATCACTCTCCCAGTCTCCTTGCAGTATGATACAGGCATGTGATGCGTTCTGGCCAATGGGATCTGGGGGTGGGGCAGCTTGGGGGGGTGGTTCTGAAGAAAGTTTTCCTTTTTAAAAGAACCAGGCCGATGTCTAAAAGCTCTACAGGGAAGAAAAATCCTGTGGCAACGTCATAGAACCATATAGAGAAACATTCCCTTTAAGATAACAGATGCTTATGGCTTAAGCCGCTTTGATTTAGATCTTCTGTTACTTGCACTCTACGGCATAGGAAGAGAAAGAAGCATTTAATAAAGTCACCAAGATGAATTAATATGATGTTATTTAAAAAAAATACAACTTTTCTTTCAGATATTTATTTTAAATAAATTGGCCTCTTTAAGTTAGGAATAGTTAACCATCATCATTAACTGTTCACAGAACATTTTGGTTGCTCAAGCAAGAAACTACACAACTTCTGAGATGATTCGTCTTATTTTTTTTTTCTGTATCTGAAAAGATTGCTTTTCATTTTCTTCTCTTATTTGCACATTTCCCTTAAGAAATAGTCAGGAGGGCAGCGGGGAGGCACACTCATGCATTGCTGGTGGGACTGCAAATTGGTGTAACCAATCTGGAAAGAAGTATGGAGATTCCTTTAAAAAACTTGGCCGGGAACCACCAATTGACCCAGCTATCTCACTCCTTGATCTATACCCAAAGGACTTAAAAACAGCATACTACACTGACAACCACATTAATGGTTTCAGCAGCACAATCCACAATAGCCAAACTGTGGAACAAACTTAGATGCCCTTCAATAGATAAATGGATAAAGAAACTGTGGTATATATACACAATGGAAGATTACTCAGCAATGAAAGAGAATGAAATTTTGGCATTTGCAGGTGAATGGATGGAGTTGGAGAATATCATGCTAAGCAAAGTCAGCCAATCCCCAAACATCAAAGGCTCAATGTTTTCTCTGATAAATGGATGCTAATCCATAATGGAGGTGGGGTGCATAAGACGAGTGGAGGAACTTTGGGCAAAGGGGAGGAAGATGAGGGGAGGAAGCAAGGGGATAAGATAGTGGAAGGAGACAGACATCATTATCCTAGGTACATGTATGATTGCACGAATGGTGCGACCCTACTTGGTGAACAGAGAAGTGAAAACTTGTGCTCTGTGTACAATGAATCCAAGAGCATTCTCCTGTCATGTATAACTGATTAAACAACAACAACAACAAAAAAATAGGATCTTCACTATTCCCTGCTAGGCAGCAATTCTCTTTTCTCCAAGGTCTCTTTCATGAAAGAGTACATTATTTAAGCACATTATTTAGGAAGAATCTCAGCATTGTGTAAGTGAAAGAATTCCAAGTCCCAGCGCTTCAGGCAACAATATAAAAGCATGTTATTCTTAAAGTGCGAGATACCTTACTGATCATTGTAGTAATACAATTTAAAAACAGGTAAAACCAGAACATCTGGTTAGAGCTCTTAACATCATTCATTTCTCATTTCACATTTCTCTCCTGTCCTAAAATTTTATAAGCAGTAGCTGGCAACTCTTCAGCCATTCCTTCTGGTCCTTTCTGAAGGAAACCCCCTTCAGTCATCAAATACACGTGGGGATCCTCCAGCTACCACTGGGGATTCCTCCTTCATTCCAGGAACAGTTAGTAAGCATCTCTGAAGCGCTGGCACCAAGATTATTTGCAGGGATCTTTATTCGCACATCGTTCACAGTATTTGGGGGAACGCTTGACTCTTCCACATGCAAACAATTTTAAATCCAAATGTGAGGATCTCTGCACACGTAACAGAGCTGAAATTGCCCGGTACAGTCCGGCGAAGGTAGCTCTTGGGGTTATTAGTCAATGGCTCCTTGCTCTTCCATTCACTAGGACAGAGATTTGCAGGAGGGCATTGGAGACCGTCTAATTCTAGCCCCGACACGGGTGGGCAGCGGGCGCGGACGGGCCTGGGCTCTGCCCCGCAGCGTGGCGCTGGCCCCGCGGGCTGGAGGCCGCAGAGCGCGGGGC